CAAGTCAAGGGATCACTGTCAAGCAGTAACCACTCAAAAGCCAGCAGAAAGCAATGACATCCCCTCTTGTCCAGCAGAAACTATACAGCCAGGGAGACTTTGTACTTGGCTGAGACAACATGACAAGAAGATATGAGACAGAGAGCAGTGAGATGATATCACCATCTTTGCCTTTTTTCAGTCCTTCTTTTGACTTCTCTGAAGCATTTGACAATGTTGACCGTCCTCTCCTGGACACTTTCTCTTCCCTGAGTTTTTGTGACACTGTTCTCTGCCAGTTCTTCTTCAACTTTCTAACCTCAGGACTTCCTCCAAGGTCTTTGCAGGTTACTGGGCATCAGTTGCAGATTCAGGCTACCCACTCCCAGACAGTCTCTGTCTTTGCTTGAGGCTCTTCTCTGTCTCTCTAGAAAAATACCACTTTGGACTACTACCTCCAGTATCCTGACCTGACTATTCCAGGCTATACTTTTATCTGCTACTGACTGCTTTGCCTTCTAGGCCTTACAGGACATAGTATAACAACAACAACAACAATAATAATAAATATTTATACAGTGCTTATTATGTATTAGGCACTGTGCTAAGTGTTTTACAATTATTAACTCATTTGATCCTCACCACAGCATTGGGAGGTGGGTGCTATTATTACTTCTATTTAGATATTGGGGAACTGAGGCAAACAATGGTTAAGTGACTTGCCCAGGGTCACAAAGTTAATGAGTATCTGCAGCTGGATTTGAACTTGGGTCTTCCTGATTTGAAAAATGGGGGTCTATACATTGTGCTACCTAGCTGCCACCTGATATGAGATTGACCCCAAGGGAGAGTGTTGACCAATCTAATCACCTGCTTGCTTCAACAGACTTCTCTTTAGCCATTTTAGCCTGGATGCATTTCTCAATTGTTAGCATACTCCAAACCCCTAATAATCTCCCCATACTGCTGATTCTTTACTGTTGCTATTTTTGTACAAACCCCTTTCTCCATTCCTTGTCCCCTGCTGCCTGTTCCCTTCCACTGAGGTCTCTATAATGCAGTCTTTGTAATTAGCAAGCTTGTTTTCATCTTAATCCTTTTCTCACTTCCTATATCTTCCCTCTTATTGAGATCTGGTTCCCTTCTGTTGATACTGGATTACTGGATACCCTTGACAGCACTGGTTTTTCTTTCATTTACAATTCCCTCATGGGTCATAGCACTGGAGTTAAAATACTCCTTCCTCCAATCAACTTCTAGATTCTCCCTTTACCAGCTTTACTCACTAATTTTACCTCTTTGAGATTTATTCAATTGAAATTTATCACTCAGTTAAGATTCTGGTAGTCATTATTTACTAATTCCAGAACTCTTTTATCTGATTATAATCTTATACCATTTCATCTTTCCCTCCATCTCATAACCTCCAACTGTATTCTTTATCTTCAGCATAATCTCCAATCCCTCCACTCCTTGGTTCTTTCCCACCCTATTTCCTGTGAACTAGTTATATTCTCCTCCCTTCCCTACCTTGATCTCTCGTTCATTCAATTCACCTCCCTGCTACACACTACACTTGGGTCCTTTGCTTCCCTTCCTTTCACCAATTATATTGCCAAACCCCAAACCTGGAGTATTCCCACCATCTGCCACCTTTATTCCTGTTCACCTGATGCTGAACAGAATTGGAGAAAATCATGAAACAAAGCTGAGTCTACCACAAATTTATGTTACATAATCTCATCTGGATCCTCATTGAAGCAATGAAATCTTTTTATGTTTTCCTAATTAATTCACTCTACATATGATCCGGATATAGCAGGGTCATGATATCCAACTTACTAACATCCACTATTTCCCAAGAAAATGTTAGAGTCATTCAGACATAACCTCACTCAGTCCACAGAGTCTCAATTTTTCTTCAGAAAGTAATAACTGTCACTTGAGATCCACTGCTGAGTACAATGGGACATTCTGCCTCTTTAATTCTCCCTGGGAAGAGACAGGGAAGGTTGTTGGGGCTGCTTTTATGAACTTCAGGAGTAGAGAGGCCCCTACTTCCTCTTGCCCTTCTTTTTGTTTCTCAATGCCAATCTTGTAGAATTCAGCTTTGGACAAAATAGTTCCGAATTCCCTTCTTGGGTACAACCAGCCCACATGTATTTCTTTAGTCCACAGTTGTTGCAAAAGGCAGCAGGGCCATCTCCAGTCATCCTGATCTATGTCTTACCACGGGACCCAGATGGTTTCAGAGGAGAAAGGGAGGCTGGTGACTTTGCACAGCCCTCCCTCACTTAAATCTAATTCACCTGCATATCATGGTATCACTTCCCTGGTGTCATGGTCCTCTTAGAGAAAGGACAAACAACAACAGCAAAAGGCAGCTCATCCTACTTGGTTATCTCTTGTGGTAGCTGTACCCAAATCAGACTATCTTGACCACTCAAATTCCTTTGCCCCTCTGGGAGAGTTGGCTTTGTTTGATATTTTAATTTCCCTAGAGTCAGCCTGAATTTCTTTAGTAAGGGTTGATTGAACTAAATAGATTTCTATTCAGTAGATTTCTTGAGGTTTAGTGAGAGACCATCTCCTAGTGTGTGGGTAGATTGAAAGAATGGTCATCATTTGTCTGTTTCTTCTTAGCATACTCTTGAAGTGGTCAACATGGAGATCTGTTAGCCACTTGGGGAGAGCTAGAATTTGCTGAATTGGTTGTGGGGTCATCAGGATTATGCTAGTATTCTAGTTTCAGAGATGCCTTGGTAGTACTGTTCCACGTCCTTTCCATTCTATCTTTCTCCTCCCACCACAGCCCAGAGGTTTCATATCCATCTCTGCTCATCCTGTGGTACTTTTAGAGGTTTTATATTATTTTTTACTTCTATCCTCTTTCTTTGTAGTTCTCAGCTCACATCTACTCAGGAATATACCATGATTACCTTTCAATTTGTCCCCTTGTGTCTTCCCTTTCTAAGTTCAGGTTACCTGATGCAGTCTTGGCATGCAGGTGTGAGCCCTATTGTATATCTGATATCCTGGAACTTTCTCCAATAAATTACTCTGCCATATCACTGTAAGCACCTGAAACTGTACTGAAGAATTTCCACGAAGGGCAGTCTAATCCTATTACTGCTGTCATCTTTCGCTTCAGAGTTTGTTGGTTTCTATCACTGCTTCTGCTCACACTCTTCCTTTTCTTTTAATCTGTTTTTAAAAATCCTAATTTGATACCTCTCCCTGGCATATGGTAGACAGTTTGAAAGCTATGAAAGTAGAACATAATATGCTTTACCATGGTAGAAAGGCTTTGAGTACACTCCTAGTGTTAGACAATTTACTTTATAAGAGCCAGTTTAGCTATGCTTTGACCATGGCACCCCATGAAACAAAAAAAAGATACAAAATGGTCCTAATTCATCTGCTGCTCTCTTCTCCTCCTCCTCTTTCTTATCCACCTTCTTCAATAACAGTGGTGGAGTGAAGTATAAAGCAGCAGAAAATGCTAAGTATACAATTTTTTGATCATCTATAAACAAAAATTTATCTGTTGATATTTGAAATGTGAAATACTTGTCTAATAACTAAGGAATTAACATATTCCACATCAGTGTTGCCATTTTTCCTACATATGAAAGCAGAAGACAAAAGGAAGTTGAAGCTTAATGGAAATAAGATTCACAGGTTGTTCTTGAAATGAGTTAGGGTTGGTTTTATTATGCATTCAGAGATAACAAAAACCATCATTTCTGGTCATTCATTATTGCAAAGATCAAGATGAGCATTAGCAAATAGATTTGTCATTAAGATAACAGTAGCTTATGGAAGAACATCTTTTGTAGGAAGCAAAAAATTCAGTAGATTCTATGAAGAACTCAGTAAGAACCTCTAAATTAGGGCAGCTAGGTGGCTCAGTGGATAGAGCACTGAGTCAGGAGGACCTGAGTTCGAGTCTGGCCTCAGACACTTGACACTAGCTGTGTGACCCTGGGCAAGTCACTTAACCCTGATTACCTCACCAAAAAGAAAAAAAAAGAACCTCTAAATTAAATCAATGTATAATCTAGATGACATCAATGCAAAGGGAGGCATGGGGAGAACAATGAAAAGTTTGTTGGAAAATGTGACTGAGGATTAAAAAATCAAAGAAATTAAAACTAGTTTTTGTAACAAAAAGAAGTCACATGATTTTATATCATGAATAATTTCTATCAGAAGAATCAGGAAGTGTTGAACATGTCAAGTACTAAGTGATATCCCAAAATTAAACTGACTATACCTTAACAGATAAGAAATGATGATTGCTGATTCTCAAATCACTGGTCAAATCAACATGTTAGAGTAAAGATCAAAATCAACACCAAGTTAGAAAGGTGTATAAAAATGAAAAGACATGACATGAAATTAGAGTAGCTCTGACACAAACTGTTTAAATAAGCTATTATTACCAAAAATTGGAAATAGGCAAAGGAACAGGCAATGACACAAAATCACCATTTCTTTTTAAAAGAAAGTATTATATTATTTAATTGATGTCTATTTTTATATCATATTTATTTCTAAATGTATTCTTTCTCTTTTCACCCACCTACAAACCATCTTTTGTAACAAAGATTAAAGCATAAAGAAGGGAGGGAGAAGCAGTTAACAGAAACTAACCAACAGAGCTATCATGTCTGAAAAGCATTTATAGCATTCTCTGAGGCCTCTTGATCATTATAATTATATAGCATTCACTCTAATTTGCTTGTTTCTTTCCAATTATGTTATTTTAGTTATTATGGCTGTTGTTTACCTGGTTCTGTTTACTTCATTTTATATCAACTAATATATCTTCCCACGCTTCTCTGAATTCTTCATATTTGTCATTTCTTATGGTATATTCCATTATTCCATATTCATGTACCATAATTTGATTATCCATTTGTCAATCAATGGTCATTTTCTTTAATGCCAATTCTTTGCTGCCACATACAAGACTTTTGCCAGAGTCCTCCTTAATCAGCTGGTCTTTCATCTGGAAGATGGTCATCTTCCTAAGAGCCAGTGTGGTCAACATAGTGTTTCTTGTCCAACAACTCCAGCAGAAATGCCAGGAGCAGTACAGAGGTCCGTACACATTGTTCATTGATCTAACCAAGGCCTTTGATGCTGTCAGTCACAAAGGCCTGTGGAAGATCATGGTGAAATTTGGTTGATCAGAGAAGTTCATCAGTATTGTACACCAGTTCCATGATGACATACTTGCACAGGTTCTGGATAATGAACAGTGCTCTCATGTTTTCCCAGTCACCAGTGTAAGAAAGCAGGGCTGTGTGCTTGCTCCCATGCTCTTTAGCATGATGTTTTCAGCAGTGTTGTCAGAGGCCTTCAACAAGGATGAAAATAGTATCAAGATCAACTGCCACACTGGTGGTAAATTATTTAACTTGAAAAGATTATAAGCCAAGACTAAAGTAGAGGGAGAGTTGGTTTGTGACTTTTTGTTCATAGATGATTAATTGTGCACTCAATGCAACCTCTGGGGCTTAAATGCAACAAAGTATGGACCAGTTCTCTGCCACTTGTGCTAATCTTGGCTTAACAATTAACACCAAGAAAGCACAGGTTCTCCACCAGCCAGCACCATGCCATCCATATGTGGTACCCTTGGTTATAGCAAATGGAGAAACCTTGAATGCTGTGGATAAGTTCACTTACCTTGGCAGTATACTTTCCAGGGATGTATACATAGATAATGAGGTTGACACATTCATTGCCCAAAGCTAGCCCATTGGGAGGTCCCAAAGGAAAGTGTAGGAGAGAAGAGGTATTAAATGGTTGCCTAGTGAACTGAAGGTTTACAGAGCCATTTTGCTGACCTCATTGTTGTATACCTGTGAAGCTTAGACAGTATACCTATGCCATGCCAGAAAAATGAACCTCTTCCATCTGAATTGCCTTAGGAAAATTCTGAAAATCACCTGACAAGATAAGGCACTAGACACTGAGGTCCTTTCTTGAGCTGAACTACCAAGTATTCAAACTCATCTGCAGAGAGTACAACTCTGATGAGCTGGCCACATTGTTCAAATGCCACAAGTACATTTGCCTAAAAGACTATTTTATAAAGAACTCACAAAGGTGCTCACACAGTGGTCAAAAGAAGTGATACAAGGACACTCTCAAGGTCTCTCTGAGGAATTTGAACTTTGGTAGCAATTGTGAGATATAGGAGATACTGGCAGAGAAAACTCTAGACCAATATCTCTAACTATTATCAAAACAAAAATATGAAATAAAATATTTGCAAAAAGTCTACAGTAGCAATATATCAAAAAGATCATACTCTATGACCAGCTTGCATTTTATCTAGCTCTGTGTGGCTGAGAGACCAGTTCTGTTGCTTAAAGACCAGATTTGTTTAGTGCTTAACTCAGGAGACCCAGGTTATGCTGAACTCAAAAACCTTCCAGGGAATCTGAAGGTTGATGCCAAGAATGTAAATTATATTGTCATAAGGTATGAGATGTTGTTCTATTTAGTTTTTTTTTCTTATTTTTTGCTAGGCAATGGGGTTAAGTGACTTGCCCAGGGTCACACAGCTAGTAAGTGTTATGTGTCTGAGGCTGGATTTGAACTCAGCTCCTCCTGACTTCAGGGCCAGTGCTCTATCTACTGCGCTATCTGGCTGCCCCTGAGATGTCGTTCTAAACATAGTTTCTGCCAGACTGCTTTCCTGTTTTTCCAGCAATTTTTGTCAAATATCTAGTCATTACCCAAGTAAGTGGAGTCTTTAAGCTTATCCATTTGCTTCTATACTGTGTGAACCTAATGTGTTCCAAGTGATTGACCTTATGACTTTTTAAACAATACCAAATCCTTTTGATAATTAGTAGTAGCATAGTTTGAGAACTGGTGCTGGTAGGCCCCCTTCCTTCTCATTTTATTATTATTATTATTTCCCTTGAAATTCTTGATGTTTTATTCTTCTGGGCAAATTTGTTATAACAGGGTAGTGAGTTTCTCTAATAAAGGTCTAATTTCAAAATATATAAAGAATGGACTCAAATTTATGAGAATAAGAGCCATTCACCAATTAATAAATTGTCAAAGATATGAATAGAAAATTCTCAGAGGAGGAAATCCAAGTTATCAATGACCATGTGAAAAAGTGATCCAAATCACAAATAATTAGAGAAATATAAATTAAAGCAACTCTGAAGTTCCACTTCACATCCATCAGATTGGCAAAGATGATATGATGATTAAAAAGATTTGAAAGACATAATTTCTGGGTAATTTAATCATTTTATTAGTAAGGCCTGCATATTTGTTCATAAAAGGATGGTCATTTGGCCCTCTCTCTTAGACCAAAGGAAAACATGGCAGGCTGGCTTACAGTTTATATACCCTCAGAAACAGTAGGTGTTCCCCAGGGTGGAAATCAACCCTGATTGGTTAACAATTAATAAGAGAATGAATATTACAATGAGGGGCTGAGAGTGACATCATATCACTTTAGACTATCTCTGTACTCAGACCACAGTGTTAAGGCAATCTTTTCAAAGAATTTATGCTCCACTCAAGCCTGAGCAGAATACAATGGCTACTGCACCTGGGTGGGATCTTGAACAAGAAAATTAGTCCAATTTCATTATCCACAATGTCCTTCAAGAGACTGAACTTTTTAATATCAGGGCTTTAGAAAAAGGGGCAAACTCTGGATCTCCACAAATCATTGCTTATTAGTAATAACTTCTCTCTTTGACAAAAGAGAAAATGCTGGAGGGCTTAGGGGGAAATTGGCCCATTAATGCATTGTTGATGGAGCTATGAATTGGTCCAGTCACTCTGGCAAGCAATTTACAATTGTGCCTAAAATGTCACTAAACTGTGACCCTACAATACCATTACTTGCCTTCTACTCCAAAGAGATCAAAGAAAGAGAAAAAGGACCTATATATTCAAAAATATTTATAGTAACTCTTTTTGTAGTGGGAAAGAACTAGAAATTCAGAAGTGCCTATCGATCGGGGAATGGCTGAACAAATTATGGCATATGACTATAATAGATAACTGTTGTACTATAAGAAATGATGAATTGGAAAACTTCAGATACCTGGAAAGAATTGTATGAACTAATGCAGAGATGAGGAGAATGAATACAACAATCTATATAATAAAAACATTGTAAATACAAATTTTGAAAAGCTTAAGAATTCAGATCATTTCAGTGGCCAATAATTCCAGATAACTGAGGAAAAAGCACACTATTCACCTCTTGACAGAGAGATGGTTGACTCGAGATGGAGAATGAGACATATATTTTTGGACATGGCCAATGAGGAAATTTGCTTGTTCATGCTATTTTTACAAGGCTTTATTTTTCTTTTCTTTTTTTCCCCCCAGTTAGAGGTAGGTGGGAGAGAAAATAAATTTAATTACTTTTGCTAATGGTTTCTATACAATAAAAAATTTATTATTTTTTAAAGAATTGATTGGTGGAGCAAAATATCACTTTCAAGGCTCTTCTCACTCAAGGTGTTTCCCATTCATATGTTAAAATCATATGAGAATCCTTGAATGAGGTAACAATAGAGATAAAAGATAAATTTGCTTGACAGTCTTCTCTTTATCATTAGTAAATGAAGGACATATCTGCCACCAAAAGTGTTTGTCTCTGTTATGGAGCACAGAGTCTGAGTCAAAGAGGGATTCCCCATACGTAATGAACTTTTCCAGCTGTTCTTGTTTGTGGATCAGTCAATCAATCAACATTTATTAAGCATTTATTTTGTACTGGGCACTGTGAATTCAAAGACAAAAAGACAATGTACTGATGCGTTATGGCCCAGAACATTACAGAACTTCCTTAATGAAATCTACAATCACTCTATAAAGTTAGATATAAATATCTGCAGAGAAAATCCAAGTGTATGAAGAATACTTATGCAGGCCACCCACCACTAGGCCTTTCTGTTCCTGGGCCTTCCCAGCAGGCCCTGCAAAAATCTCTGGCCTCTGAGTTCCAGAACCTTCTACAATGCTCCAGAGGCCATAACTGCAGCCAATCCAAAACTCCCACGGCCACCTCTTGCTGATAAGACTCTCCTTCACCATACCTCACAGGACACAACATAACCTATCTGCCATTAGGTCTCAAGGGAAAACCTTGAACAGTCTAATCACATTCTCCCCCCAAGGGACCTCTCTCTAATCACTAATACTGTCCCCATTCCTCAAGAATTAGCATACTCCCATGATATTCCAGAGGGCAAAGGAGATAGGACTACAACCAAGAATCATCTACCCAGCAAAACTGAGTATAATCCTTCAGGGTATAATTATTCAATGAAATAGGGGACTTTCAAGCATTCCTAAGGAATATAAAATTTGACTTTCAAATACAAGACTCAAGTGAAACATGGAAGAGGTAAACAGGAAAAGAGAAATCATAAGAGACTTATTAAGGTTGAACTGTTTACATTCCTGCAGGGAAAGATGATATTTGTAACTCATGAGTCCTTTGTCAGTGATAGGGTAGTGGGAGGGGAAAAAATTATATGTATGCATCGATAAATAGACAGATAGAGGGCACAGGATGAGTTGAAGATGAAGGGGTGATATCTGGAAAATAAAAATTAAGGGGTGAGAGAGAATTATACTGGGAGAAGGAGAAAGGGAGAAGGAGAATGGAATAAATTATCTCACATGAAACAGACAAGAAAAGGCTTTTACAGTGGAGGGGAAATGGGGGAAGGTGAGAGGGAATGAGTGAATCTTATTCTTATAGGATTTGGCTTAAGGAGGGAATAACATACACAATGGGGTATTGAAATCTATCTTACCCTACAGGAAAATAAGGGGGGAAGGGGACAAGAGATCAGGGGGTTGATATAGGGGAGGCCAGATTGGGGAAGGGGATAATCAAAAGCAAACACTTCTGAGGAGGGACAGGGTCAAAAGAGAGAATAGAATAAATGGGGGGGTAGGATAGGATGAAGGGACATATACTTAGTTTTTCACGACAGGACTACTATGGAAGTGTTTTGCATGACTACACATCTATAACCTGTATGGAGATGCTTGCCTTTTCAATGAGGGTGGGTGGGGAGGGAGGAAGGGAGAAAATTTGTAATCCAAAGTTTTAAAAACATATGTTAAAAATAAAAAATAAAATAAAAAAAGGGGAAAAAAGAGTTAGCATACTCCCATGCATTTATACTCTCCTAATCCTAGTTATTCTGAACTCCTGGCTATTGAAGCACAAACCTCAATTGCCGCCTCCTTCACTTCATCTTTCTCAACCCTATCCTCTAAATGTCCCACTGCAGATCAACTGGGCCCTCTCTACAGCAAAGCAATCCTTTTACAATTCTCTAATAGATTTGCTCTCATTCACTGCAGTAGATATCACAAACTTTATCATCCCTCTTTACACTTTATAAAAAAAAATTGAGGCCATTTGCTGAAAGTTTCCTCTAAGCTCCTTTTCATCTCATATCATTCAGATGTCTCCTTTTGCTATCTTCTCCTTCAGTCCTAACTTACTGTTCCTTTCTAAGTTAAAGTCCTCAACATTTACCCTTGATCCTATGCCCTTTCTGTAATTTTCTAGATGACAACTTCTATCATCCCCACTCTCTAATTTTTAGTCTCTTCCTTCCCTACTGCCTATAAACATGCCAATGTCTCTCTTGTCCTCAAAAAGCCTTCACTTGATCATTCCATCTCAGCAGGCTAGCATCCTAGATCTCCGCATGCTTTTGGTACTAAATTTCTTAAGAAAGTCATCTTCGCTTGGTGCCTCCATTTCCTTTCTTCTTACTTAATTCTCCAAAGTTACCAGTATTCTCATGTCAAATCAAATGGCTTTTTCTCAATGTTGGTCCCTCTTGACTTCTTTGCTGCGTCTGACACTGCTGATCACCTGCATCTGGATACTTTCAACATACTCTACTCTGACTTTGCTTTTCCTTGATGTTCCTTACATGACATACCATATCATAGCTCAATAACTTTTCATTAGCTATCCTCCATGCCTTGAATGTTCTCCTTCCTCACCTCCACATCCTGGCTTCCTTCAAAACTCAGCTCAAATCCCACCTGCAGGAAAGTCTAATTCTTTTGTCTCTCCTTTCGGATCTCCTTTCACTGTATCTGTAATTATTTCCATAATGTCTCTCTCAGTAGAATGTGAGCTTCTTGAGGGCATGGGTCATGTTTTCACCTTTCTTTGTATCTCTATCACTTAATCTAGTACCTGACACACAGCAAATGTTTAATAAATGCTTACTGACTTATTAAGTCATTAATAAGTAAATGGATAGAGAGATCAGTGAGCAATTCCTTCAATGCATACATCTTGGATAGGTCCTGTCAATGAACATTGAGCTGGGTGGAGAATGGAATAAGAGGGAAAAATTGGATTGCTTTAAGGAAATTTGTTCAATTTCTTCAACCTTTTCTTCAAAATAAAATACCCCAACTTTTAAAAGCCAATTTCTAATCAGTGAAGA